TATGTAAACATTTAGTGGGTTAATCGAGTTCGCTTGTTTATTCAATTGATAAAACAAAGCAAATAAATACATTACAATCTATTTTAATGAGCAATCTAAAGTGCTTAATATTTGCTCGAATGAATTATCTTGATGCTAACTTTGAAAGAATAAACTTCATTGACAATGAACACAAGAACAAAGCGTCCGTATGTGAACTACGCATAGTGTATTCTCTTATTTTTACTTACCTTGATAAATCCTGCTGTTTTTTGTTGATCAAGACTGAAAACAAATATGTGTTAGGATTTTGTGAACTGTTGGTTAGAAGAAAGGTCTTCAAAGAAGTAAGTCCTTGATCACTGACTTAGAATTTAAAATACTAAAATCTGAACTGAATTTCTTTAAAAATAGAAATAACAAATGTCTTTCATTTATGTTATTATATAAGTTTAAGAACATGTGTACGTAATTTCAAATTCCGGGAAGTATGTATCAGTTGCTTTATATTGCATCAACCTTAACAAAACAAGTGTTTCCAGGTCCATATTTCATTTCTAATTGTGGGGCACACGCACGAGGATATCGACGCGTTTTTCCACAACATCGCTGACCTGCTGCGCACAAATGAAGCAGAAACATTTGATGAACTCACAAAGCTCCTCCCAGATGTCGAAGTCATAGGGTCGATTTTTGATTTCAGAGAGTGGATATCACCACATCTGGAAACGATACGGCATCACACAACACCATTACATTTCAGGTTTATTGAAACCAGCGAAGGTGTCAGGTTATATTATAAAGGGCTACAGGATCAACCATGGATTGAATCAAACGGAATACTAAAATCAGAACCCAAAGGAGTTCCCAATCTGGTCAAGCCTGATTTTTCGAAACTTGGCATTGAACTCATCGAAAAGAACCAAAGGTTCCTGAGGCCGCTTTATAGTGATCAGCGCAATGACACTCAGTATAAATGGTGGGCAGAGTACATCAAAAGGATCAAATCACTGATTACTTCTGATCAGGAGCTACGCCAGTATATGCTTCGACACCAAAAGCCATGGCCTTTAGATCAACTTCCCATTCAGTTTGATGAACCTACAGACAATGTTCCCAGCGATGCTATCCCAAAGGAGATATCAAAAATGCTACAAGATGAGATGGAAACACCAAATGTAAGAATTTGAATTTCACTGTCTTATCATCGCCAAAATAATTATGTCCTCAATGGGATTCAATTCTTATTTTCAATCGTTCAATAAGAATCAAACATTCTAGTTAAGTAAATTCACAATTGAAGTATGTATGTTATGAAAAATGTGTTGTTTTTCATAATTGAATCAAAGCCTTCAGTTCCATCATATATTGCAAATGTATATGACCTCCAATTTCATTCTGGGCATTGCTATAGGTAAATGTTGGTAACACACAGGGAAAGAAACCATCCACCACCTCAGGGAGGAAGAAAAAAGTGCAGGTTGACCAAAACAAAAAACGTAAGTATTTATGTTTAATTGTAGAAGAACAATGTCATAAGATACATTTCCATTGCCCCTGTTATAAACTAGTATTCTTTATACCTTTAAGTCAACAAGATTATTATCTTTAAATCGAGTCAATGATAAGCTTGATTTTTTAATACATTAATTCCCTGTACATCATATATCCCTGTATCATTAAGGATCCACCCAAAGCCATGACAAGGCTCATTAAGTGCTCCATTCGCAAACGCGCACGTGGAGTTCATAGGTCAAATCTTAGTTTCGATTAAACACATCTCACAAGTCAACTCTGATGCCATAAATAAAAAATAATAATTATAACCAAACATGCATTGAACCATGTGGAAATGAAGTCTTTCTTACTCATTCCTGGCCAAGCAGAACCCCGGATCAGAACAGAGTATTTACAGTTTTGGGTTTACACAGTAGCTTTGCCAGTTGAATTCAATATACTGGTTTTGTTCGTAACGTTATGTTCTTTTCTTCAATATTATTCCAGTTATCCAATTATTCTGCCAATACTTTACCATCGGATTAACGAAGACATCAGTCTGTCGGTATACTAAATGTGTCAAACACCACCCTTTGAATTTATTTGATTGAAAAAATAACAGGAACTACCCAATTGATTTTTTACATACATAAAACGTTTTTGGCTTCCATGTAGGTTCCCCTCAACGCTCTGTACACACTGCCCCTAAAGTTAGGAAGAAACAAGTGAATAACGATCACAACAAAAGTGAGTATGATGTATATATTTCTAGTAAACCCTTATCATCTTATTATAATTTGTAGTACCTTAATATACATAACTATATTTATATATTTATGGGGTATAGAACAACCATACTAAAGCGATGGATCGTGCGTTCGATCCCTAGTTGGGTGGGGTAGCATAGGATTTTATTCTGTTCTTTTTAAATAATCATAATACACGCACGATGTAGACTTTTAGTTCATGATGCATTAATACCTTATATTTATATTGTATGTAGAATCAACACCCAAGCCCACATCCACATCCCTTACAGTGAAAAAGAAAAGAGTACATGCAGAACAAAATAAAAGTATGTATATTTGTTTTATTTGAAATTGGTTACTTAAATGTTATGAGAGAGAGCTTAGTGTCCAATGTATCCAAAATACTGCATATATTTGGAGAAACACTGTCATATAGACGTGTTTTTGTTGTTTGTGTATTTTTAGTGTTAGACATATGTTGGTCATTCTTTGATGATTATAGTTTAAGATTTACTCGACACCATACTATGATTTGTTTTTCATGCAGAATCCACCCTTAACCCCACACCAATAGCCCGTGTAGCAAGAAAGAAACCTGTTGGACAGGTTAAGCATAACAAGGGTAAGTATTGTGGTAGTTTGCAAATCATTACCAAAGACTACTCCATTGGATTAGATACAAGCATATTTTGAGATGGTTCCGTATTGAACATGATACAGTTATGTATCTCAAAATACAATATTCATGGATTCCAATAAAATTGTTATGAGGCATGCTGAAACCAATTTAACAATAGCTTATGAAATGACACAACTAAGTATATTTTGAACAAAAAATTTTAGGGGCAATTTTGTAGAAAATATGGATTAAAAAAATGCAGGATTTGCTCTTTTATTCTACATTAATTGATGTACTATCGTATTGCAAAACCCAACTAAATTGTGTGGATTTCTTCTGTTAAAGGGAATGTTTAATAATCATGGCTTAACGTTGAGAATTTACCGAAACACAGAAATACAGTAACAAAATGTTTCCATTGCAGCGTCCATGAGACGACACACTTCAGGACACACAACAGATAAACGTGATAAATGAATGCAAACGTATTTATATGAGTGAACAGTGAGTGAAACCGTGAATGAGATACTAAGGAAATGGAACGATACCAAATGGTTTCTATACTAATGGATGCTACCTGTAGAGTATATTGAATGATAAAACTCGAGTTTGAGTGTAACGCTAACCATACTTGACAGTCCATTCATAGCCGCAAAACTCGTTGAAAACCTTAATGCCTGGGTCACAATTGCACCAATTCATCGGCCGGCACCCGGCCGATTGAGTATCCTGTTCACAAACGTAGGCCCATTCAATTTTGAACAGAATAATCAATCAGGAGGGCGCCGGCCGATGAATCGCAGCAAATGTGGCCCAGGCATCAGGTGCAGTGGTACTTAACAGGAAATGACAAAACAGGAATTGACAAAAACTGTGGCATTTTAGACATTTTCAAACAAAGATAACAGAGTTCTGTCTTGACCTCTAGTCAATTCAAATAGTTCCACATATCATTTACAGGACCAGGATCACAATGTCCATGGTCAGAATGACCCTAAACACGATGAAATAACTTTTTCAGCCCGCTGTAAATAATCAGTGTCAACTAATTATAGGCAAGCAAGTGGATATTTAAATATTACTCTATAACCATAGGATATTCTGAAAGCATTGTCTTTCTATATGTAATCGTAGAATATTCCATGAGCTTGTTAAAATAATTCTTCTTATTGCTATGGAATATTCTATGAAGTGACAAGTACTTATTTAAGGCAAGATAGTGGATTTTGAATTATTTCTCTATTACCATAGAATATTCTATGGAGCTACATTTGTTGTGAAAGCATTGTTTTTCTATGTGTTATTATAGAATATTCTATGAGCGTGTTAAAACTATTTTTCTTATTCCTATAGAATGTTCTATGAAGTACAATGAAGTTATTTCAGGCAAGCAAGTGGATTTTAAATAATTGTCTATTACCATAGAATATTCTATGGAGCTACGTTATGAAAGAGTTGTTTTTCTATGGATAATCATTCTATGCGCGTGTTAAAACTATTTTTTTTATTTCTATAGAATATTCTATGAAGTGTAATGAAGTTATTTTAGGCAAGCAAATGGATTTCAAATAATTGTCTATAACCATATAATATTCTATGGAGCTACATTTTGAAAGAGTTTCTTTTCTATGGGTAATCATAGAATATTCTATGAGCGTGTTAAAACTATTTTTCTTATTTCTATACAATATTCTATGAAGTGTAATGAAGTTATTTAAGGCAGGCAAGTGGATTTTAAATAATTGTATATTACCATAGAATATTCTATGGAGCTACATTATCATAGAATATTCTATGAGCTTGTGAAAATCATTTTCTTATTGGCATCATAGAATATTCTATGGGGTTGTAATTAGTCCATTTTATATATAACATGAGATTATTGTGTAGATTATTCTATGGGAAAGGATTACCTGAAAACTTGTAAGTTATTTAAGTTTGTATTGAGTCAAGATAAAAAAATGAGCACGAGAAAAAAAGATGAGGGTGTCAAATAAATGTACCATCGAGATATTGTAGGCCCATGAATTAATTTTATCTTATATAGTATATATTTTTCATATGCATATATTAATTTAACGGGGTAAAAATGACGGAATAAACGGGTTTTTCCCTTTTTAAATAGTTTGGACTATATTTTTCAAATTATATTGTTACCACTCAAAAGATGACCATTAAATTGACGATGTGTTAAATTTTTAGATTTTTTGGTTTAAGAGAAACGTGTGTTCAAAAAGTTCTCCATATCTCCATACCACTCCTTTCTCTGTTCCTTGTGAACAGGTAAATTTTGAAAATTAACCCTAAAACAGGGTTCCTTGTTCCCAGTTGACATGTGTTCCATACAGTGATCTTCCGTTAACACGTAAGTCAATGGAAAAATATTTGGCTCTTTAGAAAACTGTTCCTTGTTGACAGGCGTTCCAAAGAAAGATGTTCCATCGGACAGATTTTACTGTATATTTTTACTATATATTTTTTCAAATGCTTTCAATAATTGTTTTAGTCTTTTGTTGACGAGCGTCGTTTGACTTTTGGTGATTTAGATGTTACATTTATTTTCTCATTTGTATCGTCTTTGGGTTCTACCTTATCTGTATATGGTTTGGTTCTGGTATGAATAGATGTCTTTGGCCTTGGTGGTTTCGAATACAGAGTCCTTGCTGTTTCAGAAGGTTGGATGGCTGCTGCAGATTTCACTCGCCTTTTAACAGTACTACTAGACATTGATTTCTTGTTTCTTTCTGGTGTACTCTTAGGACTTCCTCCATCAGAGTTCTTAGCACAAGCTCTGGGCTCAGTAATACTGGAAGACCTCGGTCTTGACCTCAGAGGAAATGCTGATTTTGCTCTTTGTTTGGCGAATTCACCAACTAAATCCTTTTTGGGCTTGTTCACTGCCACCTTGTCGTATAACGTTGAATTGAATATTTCCTGTTGGCGTTTAACATTTGCTGGTTCTAAAGTTGTGACATCTATACCATCATACACGTGTTTAGATCTAGCTTCATCAGCCATTCCCTTCGCCTGAAAGGTAAAAATACAAAGTATCCACTGATTGTTTCAGCTGATGTTGTCAATTTAGATTACTTGTTGTCAGTAGACTGTTGTTTTTACATTGGAACGACAAAGTAAAGATGAAAGCTTTAAATATCGTGAGTAGGCTAAAGTCACATTTCTCGGGAAACAAGTCAATATACATTTTAAGTTCAGCATTTCAACTGCTACTCACGATAAATGTCCATAACAACATGTGTTTAATATACTTTTCTCGAGAAGATTGTCAGTACGTTGTTTTTCAAGCTTGCCTGCATTCGGAAAATATCCGAACAGATGGAGCATTCCCTTAAGTGACCATCGGACATGCCTGACTTGCACTGATATGGCCTGAACTTACCCAAATAAAGAACGCTGCAGCTCCAGCGCTAACAGCCTTAACATCATCTAGGGAGGTTCTTTCCAAAATCTCCCGGACTCGAAGAACTATTTCAATATGAAGGTCATCGAAGTCCAAATCTTTCAAACGTCGCATAATTCCATTCTGTCCAGTATTCTGTAGGAGACGCTGACAGTTGTTCCATACCTGAGTACAGAAAACAATAGGTAGGTATAAACTAAGATGAATAATTGGTGATTAGTGGTGGCACAACTTTTGAATTGGTTTGGAAGGTTTCCCTCTTGGTAATCACGTGCAGTGTCAAATGTGTGTCTTACTTTGGCCTTCAAATATAGTATTACATTATCTTTGTTCTGCCATCTTCTATAACCTGACAAGACTTTGCTAGTTTCAACTTAACACGCTAGCGTACAGGCGTATAGAGTCGTGTAAAAGATGGCAAGATTTCCATAATATAACATAACATAACATGAAAGTGATAAAAAACTTTAACAGACCTTAGACTCTCCTTCGTGGCTCCTCAACAGTAGCAGGCTTGCGATCATCACATTGTGTACGCCTGTGTGTGGCGTTCGATATCCTCTTAGTTCCGACATCGTCTTTGCATCTAAGTCCAACACGGCATGCTGGTACACCTTGATCCGTTTTAGCTGACCAAGTAGATGATGCGCTCTTGGATATTCAGTTATATCTTTATGATGTCCTTCCTTCTCAATTGTCTCTAGCAGACTTTCCAGATCACCAAGTTGTCTTCTTCTCATTGCTAGCAGAAGTTCTAAAACATTAAGTTAAAGTTAGTTCATTTTACACATCGACAGTCGCCAGGTATTTTATCAACAAGACCCCGGCCAATTCACTTAGAGAGATCTCAATCTGTATATCGAGAGTCGCTCGTCAAGTTATCATTCAGACAACCCCTCGACGCGGAGTGTCTTTTTCATGATCTTAATGAATGAAAAATTGTAAAAAATGAAACAGCTTTGAAGATGAGTTCAATTATTTGTTTCTTAATGTAAAAGGTAATGTATTCACGTTCATGTGCCTGTGTTATATTTAATGTGAAGCAAACATTAAGACGATTCAACGACATTAAATCATACATTGATCCACTTGTATACATTTTTATCATCATAATTTTAAAACCTCTTTCTAATGTCAAGCATCTTATCCTAAGATTGGCCTTGTTGATAAGTGTCTGGTGGTTATCTATACTGTCCTTCAATCGTAACACTCTCCTGATAGCCTCCTCAAGAAGTCGTATGCTTGTCCCCTCTAGTCCCAAGACGATTGCATCAACAGCCATGACCTAATAACGTAATGATATTGATTAAACAATAAGCATATTTTACACACAGAAATATATCGCTTCATTTTCAGTTTGACCATTGATAATACCCGTAGTGGAAATGTAGTGTCTTCTACCATTAGTATTGTGATCATTTGTTGAGTAAATTAATGCAATAAAATTGATATGGTATTTGTGATATAATCAAATGATTTATACATACTGACTCGTCTAGTTCGTCATTCTTGTTTTCCTCAACCTTTTCTGTATCTATCTCGACGTCCTGTTCATTTTCTATTTCATTTTGTGCCTCAGTTGCTCTTTGCTCCATGTATTCCCTTTGTTCTACTTTGATGATTTCTTTAGCTTTTTCGAACTCATGTCCAATGCTCTCCAATATTTGTTCATCATGATCAACAGGTTCGCCAGACACCTTCGAAGGAAATGAAATACCAGTACACGTACATTGATACATTAACCCTGTTACCGTAAATGAAAGAAATAGTCAAGCACAATGCCCAAATAGGAGAAACAAAATTGTAGCAATGAAATCAGTGCGAAAGGTAAGAAAGAATGTCACACAAGGTTGTGTTGAGCACGGCCCTACCTTGAACTTAAGCAGGCCTTTATATTCTTCAGAGTCACCAAGTTTGGCACATACGGTAACATCCCCTTCTCCATCTATTCTGATCTGTTCTAACCATAAGTCGGTAGTCCCAACAACGTTTACCATATCTACCCAACGTTGCCCTGACAACGCTACCGCAGTAGCATTTGGTACCCTTAGTACCACTGGTATGGTTTGATCTTTGTAGAACATCCCATGGGTTGGGCAAAGTAGCTCAAAGTCCTTTCCCCAGCTCGCCAGACATTTCGGAAATGGTGCCAGTTCGGGGTGGTTTGTTGTTGAGTTGATAACAAAATTACACACGTTTGGAATACTCATCCTTGGTGTTTGTGCATCTTCGTACCCATACAGAGCCAAATGGTATTGGCCCGCCAATGGACACCTTAATCCAACTTTGAGTCTAGTACCGTTTTCTCCATCTTCATCTACATATTTAATAAATGTAAACTCGTCCATTTTAGTATGATTGGAATCTTTGATATGAGCAGTAGCTCCATTTTCTATTGTTGGCTCTTTATCGACGGCGTTATGAGTTTTTATTCCATTTTCCATATTTTGGTTTTTGGAAAGTTTCATAGATGCCGATATAATACAATTTGGGTTAGTTTTGATTTCTATTTCCATCACACCTGATTCGTTCGATATAATTGGTGTATCAAACGCTAGTATTTGCGTCCCCAACAGCGTTCCCTCATCGGTTATACCAACCCTACCGTTAGCAAACTTTGGAAATGGTAAATGTGAAATGGCTGGGTCATCACAGGAGATCAAATAACAGCAGATTAAAGGCAGTGCGCCCTGTGATAGTTTCTGCTTTGCGAATATGCGAAAGGCAAACTTCCCACAAAAAGGAAGCTGTACGTAAAATATTGCGAGAGCGTTCTTTCGAACTTCATGAACCGAATATTGATGGTGTATATTTGTTTCACCTGTGTCTGTTGCACTGATTAGCTCATGTGTAAAGTCTAAAGGCATATCATTGGCAAGACTGAATTCCATTTGAACTAATCCGTCTTTTTCATTTATGCGGCTGGTCTGTGCTTTACCAAGCGGATTTATGTTAAGATTGTCTGTTTCAAAACATGGTCCCCAGAATCGAAGTTCATTAGCTACACATAGTGTATGGGCTTTAATGTCCGCATCAATGGCATCGTTATGAAGTTTATAAGCTACGCAGAGCTCAAGTTGACTCATTTCCGTTTTTCCATATACGTTTAATTTATATTCTCCACTTTTTGGTAATGAAATCGAGCATTTGAGAACTCCAGATGTTCTATTTCTGTCCACAAAGACGTGTCTTTCTAGAGTTTCAACATTTTCAGTATTACTAGATATTGCACTAAGGTTAATCCAATACTTCTGGGACTCATTACTAGGAGTTTGAATAACGATATCAATTTCACCAGTGTCTGTGTGAATTGCACATTTTTGATGCGACATAAGTTGCCACCCCATAAAGTAGAAATGAGGGGTGACGTAAGCAAGTGTTTCAAATTCAAAGGCGGTGATTTGTCGAGTCAGTAACTGCCATTTGGAGTCATAGGGGAAGTGAGTGGTAATAAATTCTGGAGCTTCCGTGAAAAAGTAGTACCCAATATTCATGCAGTCCTCATCTCGTTTGACATTTTCATTGTCGTCCATTGAAACTACCATGTGTTGATGAATTATATGCCTCCATTTGTACTGTCGCGATGCCATGTACGCATCCAGCAGTTTCCAGTCATCTCCAAGCTGAACAACATTCCAGAAGCGTCTGTTTTTCGTAGTCATAACGTCACCAGGTTGGTAGTTGTGACCTTTAACATCGCCTTCTACAACCTCACAGTTAATATGGGCCAAACTGTAACAAAATTGATGAACGGTATACATTATGATGTACACGATTAATATACGACGTAGATGTGTATTGTATTCTTAAGTATGTTAAAATATTCAGGTCATACCAAACATTTGATATCAATTGCTGTTAGTGCAAAATAAAGGAGGTTCTTCTTACCAACCAGTAAAGTAAAAAGCAAAAACACAACAACTTAATATTGCAGTTACTAACCTGCACATATCTTTAAACAATTCACTATAACTTTCAGATCCCATCTTGACTCTCGCTAGGTACATCAGAGGACTTAACCTCCATCCATTATCATCCTTTGGATCAATATCATCCGTATTTTGAGTAGCAAGCCAAGTGAAAATTGCCCGGATCTTTAACGCAGTGTTATTCCAATCTCGTGTTAGAGTGTCAACAACGTCTATCAGTGGCTGGTGAAGTAATCTAGTCGGCATCTGAAAGATAGAAAAACAGTCATTCAGTCATTTCGTGTGAGGTGGAACGTTCACTTATCATTATGTCTTGCAACTGCATGTCCTTTTCTGATCAAAAGAGAAGTGGCCATAACATAACACACCGTCTGGACCATGAAATGATAAATTCTATACATTTGTCGACTCCTTTAACCGGGAAAACTTGGTATTAGTCTCGAAGAAAGCCAAGGGGGGTTGTTTTTTAGTATATGCATTGTTTTATTGCATAATATGTTTGTCTGATGTTTTCTGATGAAGATTTGACAAATATGCTGTAATGTGACCTTAAGCAATTTTTTCTGCAAGGTCAGCAGAATTTACAATATTCCATGAGTAGTTATTTTAAGAATCTTGTTTTAAGAACTCTATACTTGCTTTTACATGGTTTTAGTGATTACATGTCACATTTACACATGTACTTAACTTTAATGATACAATCTAAAAGTTGTCTGAAACAATAATGGCTGTGGTAAAAAGGAAAATAGATCGATTTTCAATTCAGTTTTTCTTTTTCTAAGAATGATATCAATTTTTTTAAATTGTATCATTTTATGTCATTTAGAGCAATATATTGGGCACATTTTCTGAAAAGTCAAAAGATTCTGTTCAGTGACCTTTCATGAGCACCTACTCTTAGCTATTTTTCAGTCACATTTTCAGAGGGCTGAAATGGTTATTTCATCATGTTTATGGTCATTCTGACCATTTCCATTGTGTTCCCAGTCATGTAAATGATATGTGGAACTAGTTAAACTGTCTGGAGGTCCAAACAGAACTCTATTATCTTGGTTCAATTTTTTTTCAAAATCCAGCATGGTTTTGTCACTTTTTGTTTTGTCATTTCCTGTTAACTTCCATGGCACCTAAAATATATATCATCTGAACCATTGATCTTTAAACTTCTGTATTGTTTTGGCCCATCCTGTATTTGAGTATTATTGAGTAAGGGCAGACTGTATGATTATTAGAGTAAGGAATGAGTCATTGTCAGTGTATACTCCAGCTATCAGACCTATTATTCAATAATTCAGAGACATAATAATAACGTTAACCTTTTTGTATATGTCTCTAGGTCTGAATAACTCAATGGCTACACGCGCGGATATAATACAAACCTTTGTTATAAACAATGGTTGAATTGTACAATTAAGCATTCACGATTTATTCTAAACCAGAGACATGTTTATACGTCTCTGTGCGAAAGTGCGAAAAGTGCTCAGAATGGTAAAAAAACGGTGATTTTAAAAGAATTTCTACGGGCCTGAGTTTTACCATTTCATCTTTCATCCCAGGCCTTTCACCTTAAATTCTGTGGGCAAATGCGACTGTTTAAAAATCGTATTCGATGTTTATTGACGTTTTGAAATATGCAAAACAAATTAAATCTGTTCTGGAAATAATAAATGATGCAAGGGGAACATTGTACCTGTTTTGCAAATTTATCAACTCGTTCATATTCCAACTCTGCGAGCATCAGCTCCCTGATGCTGTCAAATTCTGCTTTAGATTTAGAACTGGTACCGGTATCGTCCATGATTACCGAGATCCCTGCTTCGCTCGACTCGACATCCGCCAGGTCCCCAATGCTTGCGTTTGAGACTTTACTTGAGTTAGGTCTCTGTAGTTTAGCCAACACAATTGGAGTTGGGAACTCATGTTCTAACCCAGTTGTTTTGTCCACTTCCATTTGCTTTTGTGTTCTTGTATTCGCTTAGTTGTTTTCGATATAATGTTTACATTGGTTTAGACTCTTTATATCAACAGAGGCTACGAAGAAGTCAGATCAATAGATTGCATTGTGGGGTACACCTTCTCTATTGAATTTTCTATTTGTAAGTTACTTAACAAAACAAATATCCTCAGTTTAGGCGAAGAGTGCATTCACGAACGTATTCTGAAGATAATGTTTGTTCCCCTTTCGAAACATGTAATAAACAGAAATGGTTTATTTTGTTCACCCCTGTAGATATACATAAAACTGCTGGTTTTGAACGCTCCCAAGGAATTCCATGGGGTGGATTAAAGGTATTGGACAATATATGAAGAATGGATTAGACCCTAAATCGTTAATGGCATTACCTGGTATTGTTATTTGATATGGCCTGTGTTTGTGTGTATGGCTGTTTCTTGGAAAATGTAATTCAATTTCTGAATTTTTATTTGATCCAAACCATGCTGGTTACACCATGGTGGTGATTAAAAAGTGATAGATGTTACGTGTATATCATATGTCATACAGGTGCTAAATCACATTATGATTGCTCACATTGATGAGCTGATCGATTATAGACTGAAACATGAGGTCAACAAGTTCTTACTCAAAATGGATTCTATTTGGTTATCCTATTACAATAATTTCCCCAGACTACGTGCAGTTCATCTATTATACTATTTCATGTATTACTAATATTCTATGAATTACTATATCAAGTAGCGCTATATCGAATTTGCAAGAACATCAGAACTAACTTGTGAACAATACAACTTGAAATGAAATCAACCATGGGCATTCAAATCAAAAAGAATAACTTTTTTGAAATGAACTCAATATTGTATCGGCGTTCGGGGATAGTCCAGTGGCAATGAGAGGGCGATATTTTTGACGTTACTTCTGGATCACCCTGAATACTATATTTTTTTACAAGATATTATTATTTTGATTTAAAGTTAAACGATATCTATCGTGTAATATTCAAATCTAGTATTATTTCCGTGTTTTTAATGACAACTAATGGTATTTCCGTGTTTTGACGGATATCCTCATTGTGCTTTATCAGTCTCGTTTTATCTAAAACTATATATTCCAAGGGATATACATGTACCAGTTCAGGATGTTGATCACCCGATGGATATATAGAAATAATCCTATATGAGGTTCAGGATATTGGTATTATCCCGAGGCAAATATAATATATCTGCCCGAAGGCCGCGGGTCCCGGGGGAGAATATATGATATTGGCCAAGGGATAATCCCAATATCCTGAACCGACTATAGGATAATATGTTTATCCCATACCAATCTTGGTCATCTGGTTCATATTGTTCAATCGTGGAAATATTATACAAATATTTAATTTTATTGAGGTGAATACCTGTGCATCTTTCACAAGTGATATTCCACGAAGCCCGAAGGGCTAGTGGAATATCATCTTGTGAAAGTGTCACAGGTATTCACCGAAAATAGAATTAAATATTTGTTTTATTATATCACTGTCATAACATCTTCTTTAACTAAATAAGTCATATGTTAACATTGAAATACATTTATATTTCTTCTAACAATATAACAATAAATACAATAAATATCAAACACCAAATTGTGTAGTCAATAAATATCAACTCCCAAATTGTAGTATTTTAATTTAAGGTTTCATGATGACATTATAATCAATTGTAACATTGCAATGGGTCAATGAAAATGGAACCATTGTATTCATACTCATAGTATTGGCCATGTGGGAAACAGGGTTGGGAATGTTTTTCATTATTATGGGATATATATAATGAAATTACTATGGACTAAGTCAACCCCGGTGATGTATAAGTCATGACCGTTGAATATTATTTGATATTCACCGGAAGTCACGTGACTTCCGTTGAATATCGCTAGTTATTTTTTAGTTTAGTTTTTAAGTTTAATATAGTTTATTTTTGTGTCACAAGCAATAATATTAAAATACATTTAAAACACTTTTTTTAAAAAACATTGCTTCTAGCCGATGCCGGCTTATGAGACACCAAGTTGATACATGTGTGGGTAATATTAAAATTCCCATGTGAAAATTACTAAATGCACAATAAGACAGTGATAGAGACCATAATTTTTGTATACTGAGTTCACTGTTTACTTCCACTTACTAAGAGGAGACATCTTCCCCAAGGTTGATGTTCCTGGGAGCAAATGGAAAGAGAAACCCTGCTTAATCAGTGATATAAGGGCCCTCTGGTTGGCCCAATACCCTCCTGAGGGGTCCCCCATATCACAGTGGATCTACAGGTTTGCATCATGTATATATTTTGGCAGTATCACAGTTCTAAATAGTATGTAAAAGTGCTGTAAAGTGGCAGAATCAATATCATATGGCCTTTATCCCCAGACAAGCAACTTATGTATAATTGAATATCAACAAATAGAATACAGTATGAGAAAATATACATTATAATTTGTTGTTATGGAATTATCTCAAATAGAGGTACTGTTAAAGTCTTTCTAGATCAAAATTTCTTTTACTGAACATCTTAAATAATGTACTTGCAAAAGCTCTCTGTATACAGGGCGTGTGCATAAGTCTAGTAAACAGCAGAATTAGTCACGTGTAGGACATAGACCAATAAGAGAGTGAGGATTATGACAGTGATATAATAATTTAGAATATTCATGTCTAGTGTTGTCTTCTTGGCCCTAGCCGGATTTTCCTGTTCTTTCAAATATTCCCATATTTATTTTCTCGAATTTTTGATTAAGTGGATGCTCCTTCCCTTTTTAAACCATCAAACAGATCCCGATTGTCTGTGTTTTCTCCATTGTCGTTTACAGTCATTACGCGAACGTATAAATGAGTATTTCATACTTGAGTGGGTTTGGGGTAGATATCACCCGGGAATATATATCATATCTGAGGACCTTGCAGGATATATTGTATATGTCCCGCTCTAGGCCAAATGCGGGCAGATATAATATATCCATCCCGCTCCCGGGATTTTTTTCAAAAGTTTAAAAATTTCAATTTCAGAAGTTTAAAATTTTTCAAAAAGTTTAAATGTTAAAATTCTATTGTATTGAGCTGAAGGAATATTATACAAATGTTAAATATAAATTGTGCTTTTACAGTATAGGCCTATCTTGTCATTTGAAATGGTGGAAAAGGTTATATCTACCCCAAACCCACTCAAGTATGAGATACACCAGTTATGTACGGTCGGTTTTGGATACAGTGTTTATCCTGCGGTCCCTCGTGAGATACACATATTTCCCTTGGGATAAACCCTGTATCCAAAACCTCCCAGTACATAACCCTTATATATGCGAGCGGCGATTATGCCGTATACTATATCTGCCCGCTCGGAGCGGAGTGACCTTCTGTCATTGAACTTTCTCGTTTTTATAAGAGGGGAGAAACCCCAGGGTTCAAAGATGACATACGCTTATAATGTAAACCTGTATTGAGATGACATCGTCGCTGATTGGTTTAGCGAGTCGATCGTTGATTGGTTTAAAACTAGGTCAATTTGAAAACTTTGAAAACCAAGATGGAGGGTACGTTTACGACAAAAGGAGGTGCGCGAAGGAGGAAATCGTATGTCATCAATTGAATCATGGGGTTTTCCCTCCAAAACAAATCTATTTTCTAGGTTCAGTATGTTTAATCGTAACTCTTTTATATAAGAGGTAAATAAAGAATACAATTTAATACACTCTTAGTGCAAATCTGAAAGATGTAGAAAATGCAGGGAATGAGTGATTCCTATTTGAAAAACATCATGTGACTCAATTGAGTTAATGCAGCAAAATTCCGAACATGCAGACTTACTTCCCAAAATTAGGCCGTAATCGCTAGCTAGCTTACTTATGCCTTGGTCACATTTGCATCGATTTTCACTATGGCGCCCGGCCGATTGAGTATTTTGTTCAAAATTGAATACAATGTTGAACAAAACACTCAATCGGCCGGGCGCCGGACGATGTATTGGAGCAAATGTGACCCAGGCATTAGACAGTGTACCCCGTGCACTTCATCGTCCTTCCCAAGAAATCACATCATGTGTTGGGAAGGTGAAGAGCACAGGGGAGGTAGATATAGAGGGGTGTACAGAGACTTGGCAAGACTAGGCAATACTCGCCATGAAAATGTATTTAAGACGAGGCAGCGGCTTTGTATAAAAAACCTCCTACCTCATACCCACCTAGGTGGAACATGATACAGTCATTGAAGGGTTCAATTTTAAAGATTATTAAATCTCAAAATAGCTCAAATTATTAACATTTCTACAATTCCGGCTTTATTTTTGACTAGACAGATGACAGATCCATAAGTAAAGGCATATGGATGCATTTTAATGTGTAACGACCCGAGGGCGCCCCAGGGGAATAGATAACTAGCGACCGCGAGCATAGGTCTAACAAGCCAGATAAAGAAATTGAAAGAAAGTGTGCTAAATTCGATGCCCCGAGTGGGAATCGAACCCAGCTGGGATTTAGTAGCAACTTGCTATCAAGGGTCCTTACAAATGCATCTATAATTCATCATAAACTAAGATTTAATAAACTAAGATCTTTAAAATTGAACCTTTCAAAGACTGTATCATATCCCACGTACGTAGGTGGGTATGAGGTAGGAGGTTTTTTATACAAAGCCCTAGGCAGCAGGTGCGTTTAAACTTTTACATGACGTTTGGATACACGTAAGTTAATTATTGCCAATCACCATATAAGGACGATGGCCGTATTATAGGAATTAGTAGGAGTTGCAACTACAACAGTTTGAATACATGCAGTCATTGGCAAAGTAGTAATTCTTTAAGATCATACTTGAGTTTTTATTGTTAAGAAGATTTGACTGGATAATAAGGCAATGGTAATAAATGGATTCAACATATGTAACAGTAGATATGGCAACTAATGCACTTGTTCCAGTGAACGAAAACGTTGGAACATGCAGTCAGACCTAGCAGGCATGCATGGCTTAC